GGATAAAAACTAGTACAACCTAGCAAGACAGGCCAACATGCAAATTCAAGAAACACAGAGAACACCATTAAGATACTCCATGAGATTAATTTTATGACACATAATCATCAGATTCTCCAAGGTTGAAATGAAGGAGAAATTGTTAAGGGGTGTTAAGCCAGAGAGAAAGGCCCGGTCTCCTACAATGGGAAGCCCATCAGATAATAACAGACCTCTCAACAGAAACCCTACAAGCCAGAAGAGAATGGGGACCAACATCCAACATTCTTAAAAAAAGAATTTCCAACCCAGAATTTCAACCCAGATGTTAAAACCAGTGATGCAAAGTGAAATCATCCTCTGCTGCAGTTTCCCATAAAGCTCTATTATACCAGTTCCCCCTTGGTGCTGTGTAAGTCTTGGAGCTATTGAAAAGAAGTAAAACCCTACATGCAGAAGAGGACAACAATAAAAAAATAAAGATAGCAAGTTTTGAGTATGAAATTGTGGAAAGCACAAAAATAAATATCCTCATAGAGTCTATTGCCACAAATCAGTCTTCACATACGTATATACATGGTCTATGTGTGTACATGTACTTATACATATCACACATACATATTAATACATTCACATACATATACAAAATTAACCAGGAAACTCTTTCCTAGAGGTTCTCAATATGACTTTTCTTTAGCCAAATCTAAGTAATAAAACCAAATGCATACCTATAATACAGAAAGGAGGCTGGATTCATTATGATTGACAATTAAACAATATTTGTCCTTTGGGTTAGGATATTCCTTTTATGAACAAATTGTTCTTCAAGAACTTAACAAAATTGAACATTTAGCAATAGTTCTTAAAGTCCTTAGAAAACCATCATCAGAATCACATGGGACTTTACAAGAAAAGCAAATTCTCAAGCCCCATTCTAAATATATTGAATTGGAAAGCCTAGATATGGGGAACACATATCGAATTTTAACAAGATTTCCAGGTGAATCTGAGACATACTAAAATTTGAGAATCACTATTTTACCATGCAATAGCAGATACTGAGCTTTGGTTAGGCAACCAACAGTGTGTTTATGTTATTCCTAGATGTTTTCTAATTTAAGATAGTACTTTTTGGCTGGGTGCAGTGGCTCACACCTGTAATCCTAGCACTTTGGGAGGCCAAGGTATGTGGATCACCTGAGGTCAGGAGTTCCAGACTAGCCTGACCAATATGGCGAAACCCGATCTCTACTAAAAATACAAAAATTAGCCAGATGTGGTGGCAGGTGCCTGTTATCCCAACTACAGGAGGCTGAGGTAGGAGAATTGCTTGAGCTTGGGAGGCAGAGGTTGCAGTGAGCTGAGATTGCGCCATTGTACTCCAGCCTGGGTGACAGAGCGAGACTCCATCTCAAAAAAAAAGATAGTATTTTTCTTCAGGACTATAATACAACGAAAGTTAAGATACTTAAAACAAACAAATACAGAGCTGTAATAAGCCAAGGATGACAAAAAGATAAGATTGTATTGCAGGGCAGAAGATTTCAACAAATTTGAGAATATGGAAAAAGGTAGATGTCACAAACCATTTTGCAAAACACAGGAAGTCACAAAAGGTGTACAGACAGATATAACAAGGAGATCCAATTTATTTCTACAGTACCCCAGGGAGAAGGAGGGATTGGTGAGGCCAAATAAAGGAAAGGTTAAAATTCTATGATGGGATTAGTGTTCTTACAAGGAGAAGGAGAAGAACTAGAGCTCTTCCTCCCCCTGCCATGGGAGGACACAGCAAGACTGTGTAAGCCAATAGGATAGCCCTCAACAGATGATGATTTTACTGGCTCCCTGTCCTTGGACTTCACAAACTCTAGAACTGTGAGAAAGAAATGTCTGTTGTTTAAGTCACCCAGACTAAGCTATTTTGCTGTTGCAGGAGAAGCCAAGACAGATGTTACTATTGTCCGAATGTTTGTGTCCCCTCAAAATGTATACGTTGAAGCCTAATCACCAACGTGATATTTTAGGAGGTAGGGCCTTTGTGAGATTAGGTCATGAGAATGGTGCTCTCATAAATGGGAACAGTACCAAAAAAACAAAACAAAACAAAAAAACAGAGAGACTCCTAGCCCCTTCCACTTTGTGAGGACATAGTGAGAAGATGCCATGTATGTGTCATAATGCAGGCCCTCGGCAGACACTGAACCTCCTAGCATCTTGGTCTTGGATTTACTAGTCTCCAGGACTATGAGAAATAATTTTCTGTTGTTTATAAGCTACCCAGGTTATGGCATTTTTTTTTTTAGTTGCCTTCATGAACTACATGAAAAGAAGTCAAAATATAAATAGGTATGTTCTCAATTTTAATACCTCTGAATAATTGATAGATCCATCAAACCAAATATTAGCTAAAGTAACAGCAAATCAATAAACAGACCCAGCCAATTAGAAAAAAATATATATATCACTCGTACACAACTGCAGAATACACCTATTTCTCATGTAAAATATTTAACAAAAATTGGCCGTGTACCAGGTCATAACGCAAGTGTTAAAAAATTTCAAATGACTGAAACCATACACAGCATGTGCTTGCACTACAATATAATTACAAATAATAAAAAGACAACTAGGAATTCCCAACTGCTTGGCAATAAGGAAATGAACATGTGTCAAGGAAGAAATCATAACAGATGTCCTGGGGTACACCAGGTAGTTTAAAATAAGATTCAAAGCTGGAAGTCAAAATGAAAAAAATAAAAAGTAAAAATCATTAAAAATGAAAATTTCTGTATGGTGAAAGCAACGTCTAATAAGCTTCAAGCCAGAGACTCAGTAGGCAAAAGAAGTGTATCTTGCCCAAGTGCAGTGGCTCAAACCTGTAATCCCAGCACATTCTGAGGCTGAGGCCAGTGGATTACCTGAGATCAGGAGTTTGAGACCAGCCTGGCCAACATAGGGAAACCCTGTCTCTACTAAAAATACATAAATTAGCTGGGCATGTTGGTGCATGCCTGTAATCCCAGCTACTAGGGAGGCTAAGTCAGGAGAATTGCTTGAACCCGGAGAGTGCAGGCTGCAGTGAGCAGAGATCATGCCACTGCACCCAGCCTTGGTGACAGAGTGAGACTCCATCTCAAAAACAAGCAAAAAAGAATTGTATCTTATTTAATATACCCACAATATATACAGAGCTCTAACAAATCAATAAGGGAGAAAAAAAACCCAATCCAACAACAACAAAAAAAATGGGCATTATATTTCAGACAAATAACAGAACAAAACTTTAAAATAATTAGTAATCATAAGAAAAAGTCCTCAGTCTCATTAACAGAATTAACAAACAAAAAAATAAGATACTTGCCATTCACAGTAGGAAACATTTAGAATTGGTATTTTAGAATTGAAGAGGTATGGACAAATTAGCAATCCCATGACTTATTGGTAGAAGAATGAAATGATTTTTTTTTGTAGTGTATACAGAAAAATGTGTGCAAAGATGATGACTACAGCATAATTTATAATTGATGAAACCAGTACCTAGATTATTAGGTCAATGATACAGTTTTGTATTAAAGGAACAGAGATTTCCAAGACGCATTGCTGGGTGAAAAACATATCAGAGAAGAGTTGTGTAAAATAATCCTATCTATGTAAAAAAAACACACACACACACACACAAAACACTGTGTAGCTGTGTACATACATATTTGTATGTATATAACATTTATTGAGCGCTTACTCTATGGTAGGCATCATTCTAAACTTTATATTTAACTTCCTTAATCATTATAAAAATCCTATATGGTAGATATGATTTCTCCTCTCATTTTACCAATTACGAAACAGGCACAGATGTTGTCAAGTAACTTTCACAAGTCACAGGGACAGGAAGTAAAAGAGAAAGAATTCAAACGTAGGTAGCTTGATTTTCCTTCCTCCTTTTTCTATCTTATTTTCTCAGTTTCTTTCTCCACCTTCCTCCCTTCTATTCCCTTTTTTCTTCTCCCTCGCCTCTCTTAGTATGTCTTCAAATGTCTGTGTCAACCTTGGTTAGCAGGGTAATCGGGAGAAAAGTATCAGGAAGGGAGAGGGTGAGGTTTCATTTTTCTCCATACATGGCGTTATTGTTTGGAAGATCATGTGTCACGTTATAAATTTTTTTTGGAAGATCATGTGTTATGTTGTAATTTTTTTTTTTTTTGAGACTGACTCTCCCTCTGTCTCCCTAGTCTGGCGTGCAGTGGCAGGATCTTGACTCACTGCAACTTCTGCCTCCTGGGTTCAAACGATTTTTCTCCTGCCTCAGCCTCCCCAGTAGCTGGGATTACGGGGGCACACCACCACACCCGGCTAATTTTTGTATTTTTAGTGGAGACGGGGTTTCACCACGCTGTCCACGCTGGTCTCGAACTCCTGACCTGAGGTGATCCACCGCCCCGCCACCTCGGCGGCCTCCCAAAGTGCTAGGATTACAGGCGTGTAAATAAAACTTTTAAAAATCAGTGAAACACGTCACTGCAACACGTATTTATTGCATGAGGGTGTGCCAATTGCAGGCACACCCAGAAAAATCAAAGGCACGTCCTGAAAAATTATACCTCATCACTTTCACTCTCAAAACAAGTTAAAAATGCCTTTTGATGGAAAGAAAAGGGGAAAGGGCCAGGGCTAGAGAGAAAATAATCTTGACGGTTCCTCATTTATGGTCCAAGCTCCCTAACCTTGAGCAGCCACAGGCTTCTGAGGGATGGAGGTCAAGACCAGAGTAAAGAAATTCCTCGGGGGAGGCCACTTCCTGGCTCATGATTTTCCAGTTCCAGCTGGTGTCAAGGTCCCAGTTCATCTCTGCCCTTAACTATCAGACAAACACGGGGATGGGAAGGGGTACAAGGGACGGGCTGCCGAGTCGCAGGCTGGGTGGTGGGTGCAGTCCCGCCCCCAGGCCCGCCGCCCTCCAGCAGCAAAAGCCGGATCCCGAGCGCCCGCGCAGGAACCTGAGGAGGGAAGCCTTGCTGTACCTTGGGGTCCAGACACCTAAACGAGGGGCTGCTGCAAGTGTACGCTTTGAGGCTGGTCCAGGCCACTTTGCTGCTGACTTCAGGGAGGGGTGGGCAGCAGCTGAGCCTGACAGTCGGGGGTCGCAGGGGAGGAAGCCACGCTAGGACTCGGCTCGCTCAGCGCTGTGCGAGAAGAGGGACAGCCACGGGTAGTGAGGCGGCTTTCTCAGTCGCCTCCCTCTGTGACTGGGGCATGCGCGGCTTGTGGGAATGATGCTCCGCCCCATCATTGTGTTTGCGTCAGAGGGCGGGGCAAGGGCCCGACGGGCTTCGGGAAGCGATACCGGAAGTGGAACCAGAACTCGGCAAGGGGTCCCAGGTGGCCCAGCGGCGCTGTGGCTCACCTCAGAACCACTCCAGTAACACGGGTGTCCTGCCTGAAGACGCCTCGCGGGGCTCAGCGTAGTGGGGAGCATGTGCCAGCATAGTGGGGCTATTAGAAGGGACGGTTAATACAGCCTGCAAGCTGTCATTTATCAGTAAGTATTCACTGAAGTCCGCCTGGAGCCCACAGCTATGCTAGGCCCTCTACAATACCGGCTTGGAAAAGATGGCGGCGGCATATACTGTATAGCACAGTTGCTAAGACCATTAGCTCCAGTCAGGCTGCCAGACTTTAAATTCGGCCTCTGCTACTTCACATCTGTGGACTGTCAGCCACTTTCTCATTTATGTTCTTTCCATTGTCTCATCTCTGAAACTGTGTAACTGTTAAAAGAGCTACAGAGCATTGCATGTGTTAATGTAAAGTTCTTAGAGCAGTGCCTGGCACTACAGAAAGTACTCAGTGACAGTTAGCTTTTATTATTTTAAATATTTGACAAAGTCCCTGCTTCTCCAAGGTGCCTCTCTGGTTCCCATGTGGTTTCATTCATGCACTGTTATTCCTGGAAGTCTTGGCATGGCCACTTCCCAGTTCCAGCAACAGGCAATGGTTGTTTCTTCCCGCTTATCACATTGAGATACATGGTTAATGTGAGTGACACTTAGAAGTATCAGGCGGTTTGGGGGCTCCTTTCTTTCTTGAACTTTTCCTCTTTCTCTTAATGCCACCCTGTGTTTCCAATATAAGGGTTTTAAGCAATGAACAAGCACAAGGAAATGAAAAACACAAAGGAAAATGAGTGGATTGCTGCAATTGGATAGACAAGTGTAAAATACCTGGTTCTCTTTGTACATCAAGCAGCCTTCAGATCTGTAAGGGAACTATTATTACTGACTGAAAAGAACAAAATGATACTGTACACTCACTATTGAATCAACAAGCACAGATTAAGTGGCTTGTCTTGGACAAGATAAAGCAAGCTCTGGACTTTGAGGGATTAAAGTGCAGGTGGAGAGACTTCAAACATTTGTGAACTGGCCCTTGTGCACTTTTCCATCCTCATCTCTAAGGGTCTCCATCTTTTGCTCAGTAATTTCACAAATTTTCATTTCCCAGATGAGGTCAGTTTCCTGAAGCTCAGGACTTCTACCAGTGAGCTTCTCTCTGTCTTACCATGCCCCTCAACTTACTCCAAATTTATCACTTAACGGAGAGTTAGAAAGAAGTGTGTAGCAATCAGATTGTAACTTGAAGTTCTGTGTTTGTTTTGGAGTAATTATAATTCCAATGGTACATTGGAATTATATGACTTTATTACAAACTTTTGTTTTAAGTACGGAATAAATTATGATTTCCTCTTTCTCTAAAATTATTTCTAGAATTTGCTTTTTAGTAAGACTGGTGGAAGCAGTGATTTAAAGTTATAATGTTAGATTAATTAGCTAATTTAATCAGGACACAGCTCAATCATTTCCTAAACAGAGTTATGTTATTTCTTGGAATAGACTCATCATATTAGTCAGAATCCTCTAAGGAAACACAACAGTAGGATGGAGACATGTATATATGAAGAGATGTATTATAAGAAATTGGCTCATGACATTTTGTGTGCTGAAAAGTCCCACCACATTAGAAGTCTGTAAACTGGAGACCCAGGAAAGCAAGTGGTATAATTCAATCTAAGTCCAAAAGCCTGAAAACCAGGGAGCCAAAGGTGTAGATTCCAGTCTGGGTTGAAAGGCCTGAGAACCAGGAGCATTTAGAGCATATCAATGTTCCAGCCCAAGCAATGTGGTAGGAAGAGGTGAATTCCTCTTTGCTTTACTTTTGTACTACTCAGATCCTCAGTGGAGCAGGTGTAGCCGCCCCCCAACACTGATTAGGGCAATCTACGTACTCATTCAATGGATTCAAGTGCTAATCTCACTCAGAAACACTGTCTAGACTCACCTAGAAATAAACTTTAATCTGAGCATCCTGTGGCCAATCAAGTTGACACATGAAATTAACCATCACAAGTCCACCCCTTATCAACTTGACACCCATATTATGCATGTTATTAAACTAAATATTAAAATAAAGGTAAAACAAGATTATAATATCAACTAACATGATCCAACGATCTTGAGTTGTATCAACTGAAAATTCCCTGTTTCCCCATAAGTGGAGTTAAAGACCTTGAGTAATTTTAACTCTTCTTCATATCCTGTAACCTAAATACTATGTTGTAAATATAAAAAAATTTAAATACAATGATATAAAAGCATACATCTTATGTTACATAAGGGATTAAGAGATAAAAGTAAACTAAAACACACATACATTGCAAAATAAGGAGGAAATGATCATGATAACTATACTCCTTATCTGTAACTAGTCATGTGGTTGTAACTGGCATTTATAACTACCTTCTTTTACTACCCACTCTGAATTCCCTTTTCTGTCAGCAAGCTCCTCAGGTGGTGTTGGTTCTTTACCTGGTGGAGGACCCAGACACTCATTTCTAAGGGACTGGGCCATTCTTAGACCTGCCTGCATTGGGTTGTTGTAGTTTTTCATTGACTCTAATCGCAGGTCATGGTAATACTGAGAGACGCCCTACTGGATTTCCTGAATTCCAAACATGCTGATACTTATCTCCAGTGTGGAGTACTAGTCCACTTTTTCCTTGATAGACAGAATCAGTTACCCCAGTCAACATGGTAATTCCCTTCTTTATTGATTCAAAGGCATGAGGGAGTGCAGAGTAGCCAGGTGACAGTATTAATTTCCAATTCCATGAAGCCATTGTTGTGTTCCTAGTGAGAAGCATTTTTCACTGTGGAATTAGGAACTCTAGGCCAACAGAGCAAAATTGACATAGGACGACAAAATGTTGCTAGATGTTTCTACAGGTAATATGAAGTGATGTCACTTGCTTTTCTATCATTTCACTCCTGGGCCCATGAATCCTGTCTGTGGGAGAAACAGTACCATATTTTGGATACCGATTCAGAGCGTCCAAGGTGCATCCTTGAAGAACCTTGCCCCAGACCTGCACAGTTTTGCCACCTGAGTGGCATTATAACTGAGTCTTCAAAAGGCCATCCCACCATTCTTTCAAGCCAGCTGTCTCAGGATGGTGGAGATCATGGTAGGACCAGTGAATTCTACTAACTTGGGTCAATTACCAAGCTCCTTTTGCTGTCAGATTGAAAAAATAATCATGGCTTTTTGTATGTATGTATTCAGTCTCCTTTTTATAGTTTTTCATATGATGGAACCTAACCCACAAATGTAGCCTTGAAAACTTTTAGTCTACCCTGGTTATACAAGTTTACTAGCTTATTGTTCACTTTATAAATTAATTGCAGAAAAATGTAAGTTTTAATATTTCTACTTTTCTGACTTGAAGGTCCATAGCATCGATTTCTGACCAGTGAATGAAAACTGGATTCCGACTGTTGTAAGAAAATCCAGGAAGTTAAATCAGTAACACATATGCATCTTTTGATTTTTTTCAGAGCCCAATAAACCCACTTGAATTACTCAACCTTTGCTGAACTTCTTGAGTAGAGGTAACTAAGAGGTGGCTATAATTGGAGCATTCTCAAGAGTTTTACTAGATTATGAGAATGTGGGCTTAAAGTTGGTAATCAAAAAAAAAATTTTTTTTTGAAATGGGAAGGAAGAAAGAGGTTTCTTCTTGATAACTCCAGATTTTAGTTGAGGATGTGGAGGGATCAGTTGACTTATTTACCAATTAGGAATTCATGGTAGGAGGAGTTGGTAAAAGGGCAGCCAACACTGGAGTGGGCCTGGGAAGTGAAAGGGAAATTTGTATTAGTATGCATGGGTCCAAGATAAAAATATTGGGTAATGAATTTTTGCCTGATGTGTTCATTATAATAAATAGGCATGGAAGGCACCGGAATCTATAGTAGATAGAGAAAGTAATGACTGGATAGTATTGGGAAAGACTAGCATGGGGCCAAGGCACCAGAAGGCAGAATTACTAAGTATAATATTTACTCCCATTTATGTATCTGTAGAAATACCAAGTACAAAGTTTCACTTGGTAGTCAAGGTGCTATGGCTGTGACAACTCATGAGAGTGGGTTCTCTGATTAAAAAAGAAAAAAATCTCTGAATGAACAGAGTAGTGTTGGAACTTCTCAAATTTGCTCTGTCAGGATTGGCATAACAAGTCCACAGGACCTGAAATTTTCTGAGATAATTGCAGTAGTGTGATCTGATTATTAACCTTTCTTGCTCTTTGGCTGGACCATTCTTGGAGCCCAAGCCCAGAGGCTGGGAATCGAATCACATACTTCATTTAGGTTGTGCAGGTTGTGAAGGCTGATGTTTTTAGCTCAATTACCCTTTGAGGTCTTAGCTCGAAGCATTTCTTCATGACTTTCTTCCTGATTAGACCTTCTTCCTAACGGCTTTTAGGAAGTATTCACCATTGTGGGCTGACCAATAATTTCTAAATTCCTACCAAAGCCAGCAGTGGCTTATGCCTGTAATCCCAAGACTTTGGGAGGGGAAGGCGGGAGGATCACTTGAGTCCAGGAGTTTGAGACCAGCCTGGGCAGTATAATGAGGCCCTAGCTCCATAGAAAATAATAGTAAATTCCTACTGTGAAAACAGCAAGGGGAATGAGGTCGAGCCCAAAGGATTTAAATGGCCAGATAAGGCTCTACTAGGTGAATAAGGAGGAATATCACATTAATGGGACTGTATTTTTTTAGAATATCTTGTTCCAATGGTTGTATTGGACCTACAAATGTATAGACAACATATCAATATCAAGTCTTCTTTTTCAGAACTATTTCAATCCATAAACAATAAAATAAGTAATTTACTAAGTATTTAATTTCCTCTCTATAATACTAAATCTGTTGTTGACTTGTTCTTTGTCATATTTTTTTTAGCTTATGGAAGAATATTATTTGTAGCTGTGTTTTCCCTTGTAAATCCCAGTACTGGGCACTCCTGAAAACTTTGCAAGATATTTATGAGATCATGGAACTCACTCTTCTGCTTAAATTCTTCCAGTAGTTACCAATAACACTTGGGATAAAATCCAAACTCCTTACCAAGGGTCTCCCTAGATGAGCTTCTTCCTATTGCTCTGGTGACAGCCATGCATACTCTTCCTCTCTTACGACTCTCTCTCAGGAACATGTTAAATTCCTTCCAAATCAGGTTTTTACATTTGCTTTTCCTTCTTCCTGTAGTGTTTCTCTACAGATCTTTGCATAAAGTTCTCCCCTTCTTACCTTTTCGATTTCAACATAAATTATACCCATCTAAAGTAACTTCCTTATCCTCTGCCCTTTCTCCCATGTGTTTTCCCCATCATACCAGTATGAAATCTTTTATAAAAAATTATTTCTTCCAGAAGTTGACTATAAGCTCATTGACAGCATATTGACTTTTTGATAGCTGTATGCCCTGATTCCACAACAGAGCCAATCACATAATGCATCATCTATAAATATTAATTGTAGGAGGAATAAATTATAAAAACTATATTTACAGTGCATTAGTACTAGGTTAAATCTGCTAAGTCTTATTTTTAATAGTATGTGAGCTTGTCACCAGTGTTCCACTTAAATGTATTGCCTATCCTGAGTATTAAATTTTATGTACTATTAAGTATGTATTTAAAATATTGAGGAACATAGTCCCCTGAAATCATATTTCATTCCTGTGAAATCACTACACTGTGGACTATACAAATAAGCTTATGAAGCTTCATTGAAATGTACATTTACATGTAATATAAAGGCTATACTTATTAAATTTCTTCCTCTATTCTGCTAAATACATACTTTAGAATTTTTCATTTGTTAAATCTTTTGCTTTTCTTTCTCAACGTTTCTTTTTTACTTTTCTTTTGTTTAATTTTCACAAATTATATATTCTAAAGATCTAAGAGTGATAAATTGTGAAATTTAATTTTGTAACATCAATATCTTAATTGATGTTTTAAGAAAAGTATCAAGGGAAACAGGGGAAAAACATGCTGTAGATTAAAACTCATGGTAACCTGTTTGCCCAGACAAGCATCTGAAAGGAACTAGGAGGAATGGCATGCTTTTGCCTCCGTGCTACGATTTCTCAACACTGTAGTATTTTAGAGTGGATAATTAATTGTTTTGGGAGGATTTTCTGAGTATTTTAGGATGTTTAACTGCATCCCTGGCTTACACCAACTAGATGGTAATATCAGTCTCTTTTCCAGTTGTGACAGCTAAAAATGTGTCCAGACCTGGACAAATATCACTTGAGGGGTCAATCCCCATCTCCCCACTGACTTCTGTACAGATAGGATGTGTCATTTTTTTATAATTCAATTTTTATAATTTTTCACGGGTGCTTTAGCTCTGGGAATGCTGACACAAAGCCATTATTATTATTATTATTATTTCCAATTTCATCTCTCTTTTCCAAGAAGGCATACCACAATCTTCATATAGGTCACTTTAGATCATGATGGATTTACTTTCACTTAATCAGGCATAAAACCATATTTTCTACTTGAGTTTTAAATCATAAGGGTAAAGCTGTAGGCCGACTCTATTCACAGTTAACCACCCTCAAAATAGAAGTGAATGTGAAACCACAGATATTTTATTGAAACATATCTGAAGATAAAAATATAGCTCAAGCTTCACAGATATAGGACTTCTGAGCTGAGAGGTCAGTTGGTAGATAGCTGGAGTTATTCTAAAAAGGGTTAATGACTTTTCTGTGCAGCTGCAAATTATTTTACTTGCTCCTATTTCAGGACCTCCCAGACATATTGCCTACCCTAAGCACCAGGCTGGACACACTGGGAAACAGCCTGGCCACATGGGCTCCCAGGCCTTCTACCCAGGACGTCAGCATGGCTACCTAGTCTCACCAGCTCGCCCAGCTGGCATTCCTGTTCAAAATCAGCCAGGTAGACCTGCAGGGGTACCATGGATGCCAGCACCACCACCACTATTAAATGGTCCACCTGGATTGGAATACTTAAGTCAGGTAATTTCAAATACAAAAAAAAAAAAAAAAAAAAAAAAAAAAAAAAAAAAAAAAAAAAAATAAAAAAATAAAAAAAAAAAAAAAAAAAACAACTCTTGTTTCCAGTTTACTAACCATAGTAATTATAGTTTAAGTAATTACTTATTTATTTACTGTTTATTAATTAAATTCTGAAATGGTAAATAACACATTCTGTCAACAAATCACTAGTTCTTTTGGGTTCGGTTCATTTAAAAATAAAAATAAGAATGTCACAGGTAATTCTTTTCTATGATCTTGAATATAATGTGATAACAATCCAAAGTAAACATTTATTAAGCACTATTTTCTAGGTTTTATTCTAAGCATAATACATGTATTACCTCACTTAATCCTTACGGAATCTCTATGATGTACAAGCACTATAATTATCACCACCTTACACAAGAGGAAACAGAGATCCAGAGCAGTTATATAACTTACCTGGATTAAAAACCTAATGAACTGGGGCTGGTACCTTGATTCTGGATTCTGTGCTTTTTAATTCCAATACTGACTAATTGTCTTGACGTTTAAAAGAGATGTACTAAAGTTTAGAGTTAAGTTTTAGTAAGTAGTACCAAAAATGACTTCATATTTTTGTGTGGAATTTGACTCATCTTTTTCTTACAATTAGTAAAATTATATTTTTTGATGCTTTTTTTCTTTGGAAGACCCAATTTTACAAATGTCAACAATAAGGAAAAAAAAAGTCCTGAGCTTTGCTGTACTACATAATAGCTTACCTCAGCAAAGTGAGGTTTAATAATTTGTTTTGTCTTAGAGATCAGGTTGGTAACATAGAAATGTAAAATTTTATATCTCTAATCTATAAACAAGTATTTCTATGATAATCAGAGTTTTCCGTAAACAAATTGTCTCTCTTGTACTCTCTATAATAACTTAATTTCTCACAATGTACTTGCACAGCGAATATTATAAGAGTGTTTACTAGTTCATATTTCTCCAAGAAATGCCCTACAGAGCTTTTTAAAATCAGTCTAAAAAAATATATAGAAGAAATTACTACTTACTGCAATATAATTATGTGAAGTAGACATAAAATGAATAACTGAGACTTATGGAAAAAAACTTATTTAGGGCCGGGCGCGGTGGCTCAAGCCTGTAATCCCAGCACTTTGGGAGACCGAGGTGGGTGGATCACGAGGTCAAGAGATCGAGACCATCCTGGCCAACATGGTGAAACCCCGTCTCTACTAAAAATACAAAAAATTAGCTGGGCATGGTGGCACGTGCCTGTAATCCCAGCTACTCAAGAGGCTGAGGCAGGAGAATTGCCTGAACCCAGGAGACGGAGGTTGCGGTGAGCCGAGATCGCGCCATTGCACTCCAGCCTGGGTAACAAGAGCGAGACTCTGTCTCAAAAAAAAAGAAAAAAAAAACTTATTTAAATTGATAAAATAATGTCTTTATATTTTTAAACCTCATTTAGAAAGAACATTGTTTTCTAACTTTTATAAGGATTTTACTATATTTATTTTACCTAAATTTATAACATTCATAGTGAATACTTTCAATAAACATATAGCATTTTTAATTAAAAATATGTTAACTTTAGTTTTACAATAAAAAGTAACAAATTTTTAGTAAAATTTGATAATGATAGTTGATAACTGATCATATGCAGTATTAAACAATAAAATATGAGTATTAATTGGTTTTCTATAAAACATTTGACATACAACTTAATTTTCTTTTTGCTATAATAGATAGATACGATACTGATTCATCAGCAAATTGAACCTGTGGAAGGTATGTATTAATTGTATTTCTCATATTTCTAAAAAGAGAAGAAGTTTATGCAAATAAAGATACATCAAAAACTATAAATATAGCATTCTGAATGATGTGGAATGGCAAACCTGATTATTTACGAATGTCTGTCTTCACAGTAATGAAATCCGTAGTCTATTTCTGAATATTAAGAGTCAAATGGTAAAATACAATTGGCCCTTCCTATCCATGGGTTCCACCTGTGTGAATTCAATCACTCAAGGATCAAAAATATAGTTTTAGAAAGTGTACCTGTACTGAGGATATACAGACTTCTTTTTCCTTGTCACTATTTCCTAAAAAGTTCAATATAACAAACTCTTGACATAGCATTTACCTTGTCTTTGTGTATTATAAGTAATCTAGAGATGATTTAAATAATACAGGAGGAGGTTCATAAGTTATATGCAAACCCCACGCCATTTTATATCAGGGACTTGAGCGGACTAGGATTTTGGTATTCACAGACGGTCCTAGAACCAATCTCCCATGGATACGGTGGGATGACTGCACTATTATGATAAGATCTTCCCTAATGTTATAAACTTTAACGTAGAAGGAATATAGCCAAGATTTACTTTTGCTCCCTTCTCCTTCTACAAATAACTAACGGATTCAATCACTTTACCTGACTTCTAGCATTTCAGCTCTTTTCTCTCCAGTTTGTTATCACCTTGAGAATGGCACAGAGCCACATCCAATATTTTCATTACCTTGTACATTTCCAAGTGAGTAAACTTTTAGAATTTGGATGGGAGTGTTTTGGAAAATTGTTGTTCCTGCCCACAGTTTCTCTTGGGAGTTCAGATAAACGCCTTTTCCTGATCAACTCTAAATAGCATTGCTTTTCATTATTCCTATGATACTTGGAGCATCATCTAAACATAGATAGATATTATAATATCTTAAGGTAGTTTCAATAATTTTAACATAAAGGCGACTAATTTTATTTTCATTTATAGTCTTACTCCGTTTTGAAAGTAATAATAAGTATGAAATCAAGAACAGCTTTGGGCAGAGGATTTATTTTGCAGCAGAAGATAGTCATTTCTGTAGCCGAAATTGCTGTGGGCCATCTAGACCTTTTACCTTGAGGATTATTGATAATCTGGGTCGAGAAGTCATAACTCTGGAAAGACCACTAAGATGTAACTGTTGTTGTTGTCCCTGCTGCCTTCAGGAGGTATGTGAGCAATTACTAGAGCCTTTTGTAAAGTAGTTCAGCAAGAATGTCCATCCTTTCATTGAACCTGTATAATCAGATGAGATTTAAAGGAAAATGGCTCCATCAGCTGTATGTTTGGGCTTCCAAATCAATTGTATAAGAAGGAAGGCAAATAAACAACAGGGGATGGTTAGCCTCATGTCCCGCAGCAGTCTGCCTTGTGGGGTTGAGCAATGGTCAGAGATGAGAATTCTTGATATTCAAGGAAAGGTCAGATAGGCACTGTTTTCAAATCATTTTTTTAGAAATGATTGTAAGAGACATGGTCAAAACCAGCCGAGATGCACCATTGAAAATATCCTAAAATAGTATTCTGGGATCATAGGGACAAAAAGAAGGAAGGAAAGAACAGATGTGTGCATCTCATAATTTTGGCCAACCTACTAAGGGACAAACCTAGGACAAAGTTTTATCTCCTCTGTTTTTCATTTCTCCTTTTCAAAATAAAAACTTATATATCTGTGTCATCTGCAGTAGGGATAGCCTAAATGGGAGTATGTCCAGCTCTGTAGAGACCAGATGTCTCTGTTTTTATATTACATGGCAGCCTACTCCTAGAAATTATGAATTTCAGGGAAGACACTAGGGTTCAGAGATGTTATAGAAAAGTTGGTCATTTCCAGGATCCCACTGGCCCAACACCATATCTGCCTGGGTAACTTAGCCTTCCATACAGGTTGCTGTGAGAACATAATACAGTTAGAGATAAAGGCATATAGTTATTTAAAGTCTAATACTGCACTTATTTTGAGAGGATAAATGAAGTTACTTATAATGAATTGGTTTGTTTTCCATGCCATTTAGGTTAGGTATAATTATATATTTATAAGAATATCTGAGGAAAAACTGAGAGTTTGATGGGAAATGCTTTATAATTTGAATATCACATTAGCATGCATTACACTATTTGATCTTTTAAAAAATTTCTAGGAAGTCCTTACTTGCAATGTCTGGCACTTATGAAATGGTCAGTAAATGAGAGCCATTATTAGATAGGTTTATGATGATTTATTACAGTTACACATATTCTCTTACTTTTGTAGATAGAAATCCAAGCTCCTCCTGGTGTACCAATAGGTTATGTTACTCAGACCTGGTACCCATATCTAAAAAAGTTTACAATTCAAAATCAGAAAGGAGAGGATGTACTAAAAATGAGTGGTCCATGTATTATGTGCAGCTGTTGTGGTGGAGATGTTGATTTTGAGGTAAGAGATGTAATAATGTTTATGGGATTTGCTTTCCTAATATAAGAATATAATTTTGCAGAATTTTATGAATGCCTTAAATTAGTATTGTGTACTGATGTCTCAATAGCAAGATAATGTTCCCATACATTTAACTTTGATCAGAGTGGAGGTTATTACTGTCTAAAGGTCAGTATTGATAATGATAAATGGATAAAAAGAGAAGCAGAGCTCTGTAGTCAAATAAAAATAAGCAAATCATCTAACACTTAAACATGTTGGTTTCTGTGTGGTCACACTATATATTATCCATTATAAATAAAACTTTAATCTCATCATCTAAGTGTGATTAGCAAAGCATATGGATCCTTCCTTAATCTGAAATATAGCCTGCCAGTGCTCCAGGCCATGTCCAGAAGGTCTGACATCTTTGAGTTCCTACAAAAAGCCCAATTATGCAAAGATAATTTTGAGAAAGTCAGTGTAATATGTATTACCCAATTGTACTTCTCTGTGGTCCCTTCTTTAACCCTGTATTAAATTAGGTCATTGGAAACCATAATGTATCTCTATATTTAATTCCTGCATGAATTTCATTACAGCAGTTCTCCAACAAATAGCCTAGGCTTATAATCAAATTATTTAGTTGCAAATGTTTATCAGAAGATTTTATAACTTACTCTTGATTTCCTGATTCTCTTAGAAAAACAGACAATTTGGTAAACTGGGCCCATAGTTCTACAGAATGAGGAAAAAATAATCCTAAAGTTGAGTAGGGCTACCTCACTTATGATTAGATGTGGGAACTCTGACAGTGTCCCCATATCTTCCTAAGGTTTTGCACTATCCGGTTTCATTCTCTTGTGTCCTTTCTTCTCTAATAGTATAGTTTTTAATTCCTCTATTAAAATTTAGTTACATAAAAATGAATTCTTCCCTTTTTCAACTTCATAATCTGATGACAGAGATGGGCAACTCTAAGAAAACACATGTGTTGTAGAGACTTTAAAATGCTTTTTTAAAGGGATACATATATATTTATAAAATATATGATTATATATAGTGTATGCATATATACTATGCATATGTGCATGTGGGTATATATGGGTGTGTAGGTATGGGAACATGTAATGCGGATGTACAGGAACCTTATGTAGGGATATATATAATAATAGCTCTCTTTTTATGCACATAAAAATCCAGACAAGTGAAAGATTATTTCTTCTTCTAGGAATGATATTAATAAAAGTCTAATTGGAATGTAATGTATTCCTACGAAATGAATAAAACACTAAAAAATTGTGAAACATTCATATTTAATACTAAAAAATTAGATTTCATTCAGCAGCTCTTCAGTTCTCTATGTCTACAGATACCAGATTCTAAGAGTAACTAATAGTCATATGATTAGAGAAGGCAAAAAAAAAAAATGCATATAGTAAATTTTATACAAATGCTGAGTTTGTAACTTAAAAGTACCTTTTCAGTAACTATTCATAAATTGTATGCTTTGAATTATGTAGCTGTTCTAGTATCTTACACATTATCTTAATATAGTCTTTTGGTATTTACCTAGGTTCTATGTGCTAGTGGCCTGTTTACATTTTTCGCATTTACATTGCAAATAAATATATAGTTTTCTTTTTAGGCTATCTTTACCAACTATTAGTATTAAATTTACAGATTTATAAATTTTATGCTAATATGATACTCTACAATTCTTTTTTAAACTCATACGTCTGATACCAAATATGTAGATATTTTTTCCCCATATCAACCAATTCTCCTTCTCTACAGACATCAACTGGGTTCCCTACAATTCAAGTTTAATTCTGACACTCACTCACCTGGAGTTAATGCAGACACCACAAGTTAAGGTCTCACAAAACTGTTTCCTATTTCAAACTCCAACCACAAATGCAAGACCTCCTGTACACCTAACCAACTGTCTATAAATTAGGGTTCTGACAACCTCCTCCACAGGTTTCACAATTTGTTAAAACTATTTACAAAATTTAGGAACACACTTTATTTATGTTTCCTATAAAGGATACAAGTGGATAGCCAGATGAATACGTTAATAGAATGAGTTCTGGAAAGGTCCCGAGCAAAATGGGATCTGTCCCAGTGGGACTGGGGTAACCCTCCTTCATGGCACGTGAGTTCACCAATCCAGAAAGTCTCTGAACCTGTTGTTTAGAGTTCTTAGAAAGTTTCATTATGTAGGCATGATTGATTTAAGCCATTGGCTATTGGTAAATAACTCCAGCTGCAGCCTTACTGTCATCTGTGGAGGATGGAGAAAGGACTGAATGATTCAATCCTCTAAGCATTGCTTGGTTTTCCTGGGGTCCAGCCTGATACTAAAGCTATCAGGAATCCCAACCACCAGTCATTTTAGTAAACAAAAGATTTATTGCTCAGAAGATTCTAAGGATTTTGAAGCTGTGTGTCAGGAATCTGGGACAAAGACCGAATATTAAAACAAGACTCAGGCCAGGCCTGGGAGGCTGAGGTGGGTGGATTACGAGGTCAAGAGATTGAGACCATTCTGGCTAACATGGTAAACCCTGTCTCTACTAAAAATACAAAAATTAGTTGGGCATGGTGGCGCCCACCTGTAGTCCCAGCTACTCGGGAGGCTAAGGCAGGAGAATCGCTTGAGCCCATGAGGCAGAGGTTGCAGTAAGCCGATATTGTACCACTGACTTCAGCCTGGCACAGAGCAAGACTCCATCTCAAAAAAAAAAAAAAAAAAAAAGACTCTCCTATCACCCCTATCACTTAGAAAGTTATGAGAGTTTTTAAAATTCTGTGTCAGGAAACAGGAAATAAAACCTAAATGTATACTTTTTACGATGTTATAAATACCAACATATTACTTCCAAAGGTTGAAGTAATTTTACTATATTTTTTGTTTTGTTTTTAAAATGTCATACAGAATTTAGCTAAAACTATCTAGACTTTATAACTTTTTCATAAAAATTATCTAGACTTTATAATGACCTGTATATGTAGCTCATTATTTATATTTCTAATCCTCCATTAAAATTTTATTTTCTACTCCTTGTGTAAATTTGGTGAATTTTTAAATTTCTTGTTATAGCAATCAAGATGGAGAAATATTTGTTAAATCTAGTAATAGGTTTATGGTAGCTAGCAAGTTACCTTCAGCATTTTTTACTTTGTAAATATTTCAAAATTCAAATACATTTTTAAACAAAAATATAAAGTTTTCATTATTAGTCTCAAATGCTTAGATGATATATGTTCACTATGGATATGTAGTAACAGAGGGTAGCTAGGCCATGCTTTTCTAGTGACTATTTACCTGAGACCAAGAGCCAGACCAAACCACTTACTCATATGTAAGGTCACTGCCCATGTTATAGCTGCTAATGTTCCATAGGTCAAACATGCCACAAGGCAGAGCCTAATTATGAAGAAAGAGGAAAATGCTTCAGGTTACAATGGGAGGGAAAATGAATATTTGATGAAGAGTAATGCATAGCAATCACAATTTTATATTAGACATTTATTTCACTTTTTTAAAAGATCCTACTCATCAACAGTCAAAATGAATCAATTGTTTTTAGTTTCCTCACATTTATCTAGCTGGTTACAACCAGAGGCAATGGATTCAAAAGGTGTTGCTGACATATGTGACCTGTATAAGTAGGTCATTATTTATATTTCTAAACCTGTGTTCAAGTTTGAAATGACATTCCTGACTTGGGTTGACATAACTCTTACAGGTAGTTTGGTGAATGTTAGCTACATGCTACATTCAGCCACTACCTGCACACCTGGCTAGGTGTTTTTGTCTGAGCACACTGCTTTCAACTCTATATGATGACCCTCAGCTTTCTTCGGCAGAATTTTTACAATTTTTTTTTTTTTTTTTTTTTCTACCTTTTTTTTTTTTATTCTTCATACCCCACTAGTTATCTGGTCTTGCCCACACCCTCGGCTTGAGGCATCCCATCGAGTTACTTAGCGGTTGCTTTTCTTCACTCAAAACTGTCAGTCTTTTTTTCTAGGTTCTTAGCATTTTATGTTTTCCTACTGACAGTGGGTGGTAGTGAGGCCTCTCTTCATATTTAAATATTCAGCTGTGTATACTCTCTGTGCTTCTCTAAAAAGCAGAAGTCTAATAGGAGTTTCGTTTAATTCCTTCCTGATGGCTTCTAGAAATTATATTAAAGAAACTTTTCAAATTTATATCCTTTTCAGCTTAAATTTTGTTTTGGGTCAACTGAAATAAATAAGACATATATTAACGTCTATCTTAATATAAAATAGAAAATGGTTAAAATTTCAGTAAAACCACTTTTATATAAGTTTTCTATACAATAGAACCATATATAACTATGACTATATAGGAGCCTATGTGTATCTAACATCACATATTAATTATATATCCATAATTATGTATGATGCATAAATGTAATATAATAATTGCTTTATTTTACTCCAACTTTAAAAGTACTTTTGCTACAAGTTTCCTAGAAACGTTTAAGATTTTTTTTTCTTTTTTGCCATTTAGATTACATCTCTTGATGAACAAATTGTGGTTGGCAGGATTTCTAAGCACTGGACTGGGATTTTAAGAGAGGCATTTACAGATGCTGACAACTTTGGGATCCATTTCCCTAGAAACCTTGATGTTAAAATGAAAGCCGTGCTGATTGGTGCCTGTTTCCTCATTGTAAGTCTATTCCTGCTAATCTTGGTTACAGATGGCTTCTCTAGGAGCATTCTGAAATAATTCATTATACATTTTAAGATTACCATTTAAAATGTAAAGGTTTTATAAAATGTTCCTATTTAATCCCAGCTCTGGAATTTTATAGGTGATTAGTTTATGTCTGAAGAGTCTACATACTTTGAAATGGCAAGAGAATAACTTTATATTCTAAGGAGAACTTCTGGTTTGAGGGAGGGTTATTAAAAAATCAAATATGTTATTAGGAGAAAAATGTAAAGCTAGTCTTACATGGTATAAAACTCAGTGAAACACAGAAGTTTCATCCTGACTCATTAAATTAAGACGTCCAACATGGGATTATAAAGTACATTAAGAGTATACATTCAATCAAGCCTCTAGACCTATCAATTTATAGGAAATACATAGGGTAAAGCAGTGATTCTGAATGTCTCTTTATGTTAGAATTATCTAGAAACTTTTTAAAAACTCTCAAGTATCAGGCCATTCCCCACTTCAACTAAACTAGAAGCTCAGAGTCAGAAATTTGTATAGTGCCCCAGCTAATACGAATATGCAGCCAAAGTTGAGGTTTATAGAAACAGAGCAATGGTCTTCAACCTTAGCTACACACTAGAAACACTTGGGTAACTTTCAAACTCCTCACATCCAGATTGCACCCAAATTTATTAAACCAAATTCTCTGGAGTTAGGACAAAGTCTTCAAGCTGTTTAAAGCTCCCAGGTGATTCCGATATGCAATCAAGGTTTGAGATGCCAGATATCTTAAACATGAGTTTGGTGATGTAATCAGAAAACCTTAACAGATAATGTACAGCAAAAAGGACCCAGCTCTTTCAACAAATAAGTGGCAATGAAAATAACAGAATAAAGATTAAACAGGGGAGGCTGAAGAAGATGTCTGAATGGAAGGCTCTCGAATTATCGCCACTCTAAATTGAACAACTGTCCACATAACAAAAAGCAATTTCCTAAGAACTAAAAATCAGTCATGATCATTGTACCTGGTTTAAAGATTATATTAAGAAAAGAGGCACTGAGGAGGGTAGGAAAGACAAATTGCCTAACCCCCTCCTCTTTTATACTTGGCAGTGGATACCTGGTGGAGAGAGATAATCTGTATGTTGGAGGAGGGAGAACACAGTGATCGTGGGACTTTGCATTGGAACTCTGTGCTTCCCTGTCATAGCAGAAAGTAACATGAGGCATGGCACCCATGGAGACAGCATTTAAACTAGTCTTAGCCAGAGGGGCATTGCCCATCCCAGCATTCAGAACCTGAGTTCTGGCAAACCTTGCTACCATGAACTAAAGTGCTCTGTGGTTCTAAATAAACTTGAAAAGCACTCTAAGCCACAAGAACCACAATTCCAAGGCAAGTCCCTGTGCTGTGCTGTGCTGGACATGGAACCACTGGATTTATGGTGCATGTAACCTAGTGAGACACCAGCCAGGGCAGCCAAAGGAGTGCTTGCATTACCCCTCCCCCAATTCCAGGCAGCACAGCTAGCCCCTCCAGTAGAGACTCCCTCCCTCTGTATGAGAAGAGGGGAGGAGACAGTAAAGAGGTCTTTTTCTTGCAACTTGGGTCTTTTTCTACCATTCAACTACAGTAGAATAGGGCACCACTCACCTACAGTAGAATAGGACACTAAACAGAGTCCTGAGGGCCCTATTACAACCCTGGCACCCAGATAATGTTTCTAAACACACTGCAGATCAGAAGGGAACACCCTGCCTTGAAGGGAAGGACCCAGTCCTGCTAGGATTTATCACCTGCTGACTAAAGGACCCTTGGGTCCTAATGTCTGTCTTATTGGTAGCCAGGTAGTACTTGCCATGGGCGTTAGGGAAGACTGAGATATGCTTGCTTCAGGTGCACCCAGCACATTCCCAGCTGTGGTGGATATAGGGAGATAACTCTCCTACTTGAGGAAAGGAAAGGGAAGAAGAGAGAAGGTTTTGCATTGCAGCTTGTATACCAGCTTGGCCACAGTGGGAGAGAATACCAAGTGGGCTCTAGAGTCCATGATTCCAGGCTGTGGCTCCTGGATGGCATTTGTGGACCTATACTGGACCAGAGGGAAGCCCACTGCCATGAAGGGAGATATTCAGGACTGGCATAATTTACCACAGCTGACTGAAAGGCCCTTGGGCCTTGAGTGAACATCAGTGGTAGCTAGGTAGTACTTAACATCAGTGGTAGCTAAACAGTGTGTGTTGTGGGCCTGGGTTGGTGGTGGCCAAGGGGAAAGACGCTTTTTCTTAAGAAAATGGGAGGAAAGAATGGGAAGAATTTTGCCTTGCAACTCAGGTTCTAGCTCAGCCACAGAATCGAGCATCAAGTAGATCCCCAAGGTTCCCAACTGCAGGCCAAGGCTCCTAGACAGCATCTGTGGACCTACCCAGGACCAGGGGGGAACTTGATGCCCTGAAAGGAAGAATACAAGCCTGACTGGATTTGATACTTGCCAATAGTAGAGCTCTTGGGACTTGAGTAAACATAGGTAGTAGCCAGGTAGTGGTCACTGCAGAACTTAGACAAGAACTAATGCTGTGCTGGCTTTGGGTCTGACTCAGTGCAGTTCCAGTGGTGGTGGTCACAGGTGTTTTGTGTCACCCTTCCCCCCAGATCTAGGCAGCTCAGCACAGAGAGACTCCCCTTGTTGGGGGAAAGTCAGGGAAGAGAACAAGAGTCTGCCTGTTATTGCAGATATTGCTTCTGGATCTTAATACTGCCAAGGGATTACCTCTGTGAGTCTTGAAGAGCCACAGAATTACTGGACTTGGGGTATCCACTAAAGTATATATGACGGCAGTAATGAAAAACTTAGATCAAACACCCAAGTCCTTTTGAATGCCTAGAAAGCCTTCCCAAGAAGGATAGGTACAAACAAGCCCAGAATGCAAAGACTGCAATAAACACCTAACTCTTCAATGCCCAAACACAAATTAACATCCACAAACATCAAGACCATCTAGGAAAACATGACCTCACCAAATGAACTAAATAAGGCACCAGGGGCCTATCACAGAGAGACACAGATATGTGAACTTATGGACAGCAAATTCATAATAGTTGCTTTGAGGACACTCAACAAAATATAAGTTAACTTAGAGGAGAAATTCTGAATCCTATCAGATAACTTTAACAAATAGATTGAAATAGCTAAAAAGAATCAAGCAGAAATTCTGGAGTTGAATAATGCAATTGGTGTATTGAAAAATGCATCGGAATCTCTAAACAGTAGAGCTGATGTAGCAGAAGAATGATCAGTGGGCTTGAAGACAGGATATTTGAAAATACAGTCAGAGGAGACAAAAAATACAAATAAAAATCAATGAAGCTTGCCTAAAAGTTCAAATCAGAAAATAGCCTCAAAAGGGCAAATCTAAGAGTTATTTGTACTAAAGAGGAAGTAGAGAAAGAGACAAGGGTAGAAAGTTTATTCAAGGGGATATTAACAGAGAACTCTCCACACCTAGAGAAATATATAAATATTTAAATACAGGAAGGTTATAGAACTCCAGTCATATTTAATCCAAAGAAAACTACCTTAAGGCATTTAATACTCAAACTCCCAAATGTTGATGATAAAGAAAGCTTCCTGAAAGCAAGAGGAAAAAAAAAAAAAAAACCCAAATAAAAGCAAGCTCCAGTACATCAGGCAGCAGACTTCTCAGGCCAGAAGAGAATGGCTTTACATATTTAAAGTGCTAAAGAAAAGAAACCTTTTATCATAGAATAGCATATCTAACAAAATTATCTTTCAAACATGAAGAAGAAATAAAGACTTTTCCAGGTAAACAAAAGCTGAGGAATTTCATTAATACTAAACCTGTCCTACAGGAAATGCTAAAGGGAGTTCTTCAATCTGAAAGTATATGTTAACAAGCAACAAGAAATTATCTGAAGGTATAAAACTCACTAGTAACAGTAAGTACACAGATAAACACAGAGTATTATAACACTGTGATTGTAGTGTGCAAACTAGTCAGATGTTAAGTAGATGATGAGCCTATTAAAAATAAAAACCACAACAACTTTAAGCCATAGACAGTATAATAACATATAAATAGAAACAACAACAATTTGAAAGTGGGAGGGTGAAATTAAAGTGTAGAGTTTTTAGTACTTTTCTCTTTGTTTATGCAATCAGTGTTAGGTGTCCATGAGTTTAAAATAGTGGGTTGTGAGATATTGTCTGCCAGCCTTAGAGTAATCCGAAATCAAGAACATAGAAAAGATATATACAAAATCAAAAACAAGAAATTAAAACACGCCACCAGAGAAAATCACTTTCTCTAAAAGAGAACAACAAGAAGGAAGGAAAGAAGGAAGAGAAGATCACAAAAAAAACCAGAAAACAAGTAACAAAATGTCAGTAGTAAGTCTTTACTTATCATTAATGACATTGAATATAAATGGGCTAAACTCTCCAATCAAAAGACATAGGATGATTTAATGGAGAAAAAAAACAAAATGAAAACAAGACCCAATAATCTGTTTCCCTCAAGAAATACACTTCACCTATAAAGACACACATAGATTGAAAATAGAAATTGAAAAAATTTCCGTGAAAATGAAGAGCAGGAGTAGCTATACTTATATTATACAATATAGATTTCAAGACAAAAACTATAAAAATAGACAACAAAATCATTATGTAATGATGCAAGGGTCAATTTTGCAAGAAGATATAACAATTGTAAATATATATGCACTCAATACTGGAGCACCCAGTAATAGAGAGCAAATATTATTAGAGGCAAAGGGAGAGATAGACCCCAATACAATAACAGATGTAGACTATTTCAACACCCTACTTTCAGCATTGGACAGACCTTCCAGACTGATAATCAACAACAACAACAACAACAACAAAAAACCCACATCAAATTGGATCTGCACTATAAACCAAATGGATCCAATAGATACTTACAGACCATTTCATCCAATGGTTACAGATTACACATTTGTCTCCTTAGCATATGGCTCATTCTCAAGGATAAACTATATTAGGCCACAAAAAAGTATTAAAGATTATTTAAAAAATGAAATTATATTAAATATCTTCTCTGACCACAATGGAATGGAACTAGAAATCAATAAGAGGAACTTTGGAAACTATATAAACACATGGAAATTAAACAACATGCTTGTAAATGACTAGTGGGTAATAAAGAAACCAAGAAGGCAATTGAAAGTTAATTGAAACAAATGATAATGGAAACAGAACATGCGAAAAGCTATGGGATACAGCAAAAGCAGTACTAAGAAGAATGTTTATAGAATTAAGCACCCATATCAAAAAAAGGTAGATAAAGTTCAAATAATCTAACAATGAATCTTAAAGGGTTAGAAAATCAAGAGCAAATCAAAATCAGAATTAGTTGGAGAAAAGAAATAAAGTTCAGACCAAAAAGAACCTGAAATTTTAAAAATATAAAAGATCAACAAAGTAAAAATTGTTTTTTGGAGAGAGAAACAAAATCAACAAACCTTTAGCCTGATCAACTAAGAAAACAGAAAAGACCCAAATAAATAACATCAGAGATGAAAAAGGAGACACTTTAATTGATACTGCAGAAATTCAAAGGATCATTAAAGATGACTTTCACCAACTATATGCCAATAAATTGGAAAACCTAAAAGAAATGGATAAATTCCTAGACACATATTATCTACCAAGATCAAACCATGAAGAAATCTAAAACCTCAATAGACAATAAGTAATGAGATCAAAGCTGTAGTAAAAAGTCACCTAGCAAAGAAAAGCTTAGGAACTGATGGCTTCAGTGCTGAATTTTACCAAACATTTAAAGAATAAATACCATCATACTCAAGCTACTGAAAAATAGAGTGGGAGGGAATACATGCAAACTTATTCTGTGAAGCTAGTATTACCATGATACCAAATCCAAACAAAGACATATTTAAAAAAAACTACAGGTTCATATCCCTGATGAACACTGATCCAAAAATCCTTAACAAAATACTAGCAAGTCAAATTCAACAATACATCAAAAAGATTATTCATCATGACTGAGTGGGATTTATCTCAGAGAAACAAAAATGGTCCAACATACGTTTTGGATATAGCCACTTATCAGATACATGGTTTGCAAATATTTTCCCCAGTCCGTGGGCTGTCTCCTCATTGTGTTCATTGCTTCCTTTGCTGTGTGCAGAAGCTTATTAACTTGAGGCCATTCCCTTTGTCTCTTTTTGTTTTTGCTGTCTGTGCTTTTTAAGTCATACCAAATAAATCATTTCTCAAGCCAATGTCCTGGAGAATTTTTTTCTAGTTGTTTTACAATTTCAGGTTTTACATTTAAGTCTTTAATCCATTTAAATTTGACTCTTGTATATGGTGTTTAATAAGGGTCAGATTCCATTCTTCTACATGTATATTTAGTCTTCAAAACACTATTATTTAAGGTTACTGTCCTTTCCTCATTGTGTGGTAGTGGTACCTTTGTCAAAAATCAATTGATTGTAAATGTTTGGGTTTATTTCTGGGCTTTCTATTCCGTTTCATTGGTCAGTGTGTCTGCTTCTATGCCAGTACCAAGCTGTTTTGATTACTATATCTTTATAATAAATTTTGATATCAGGTAGTGTGACGCCTCCTGCGTTGTTTCTGTTGCTAAAGATTGCTTGGCTGCTTGGGGTCTTTTGCGATTCCATACAAATATTAGGATTTGTTTTTCTATATCTGTGAAAAATTCATTGGTATTTTGAGAGGGATTACATTGAATCTGTAGTTCCCTTTCAGTAATATGGACATCTTGGCAATATTAATTATTCTAATCCAGAAACACAGAATATCTTTCTATTTATTTGTGTCTTCTTTGGTTTCATTCATCAGTGTCTTATAGTTTTCAGTGTACAGAATGTTCACCTTTTTGGTTAAACGTATTCCTTAGTACTTACTACTTTTTGATGATGTTGTAAATGGAACTTTTTTCTTAATTCATTGTACATGGAATGAATTCTAATTACAAGAAGAGTTATATTACTAGAAAGGGACTGTAAAACATTAAATAAGAAAGATGAAAAAGGATGATTTCAAGGAGGATAAAAGTCACATTTACATAAATTATTGTAGGATTAATTAAGTTAATATGGTGTCAATAAATAGAATTATAGAATTTAATTTCTATAAAAATAGCTGAAGGTAGAGATCTTATCTGTAGACTTCCCTACATTTACTTATTATAGTTAGTTTTTCTTATTTAACAGACAATTAACTTTGTTTCATCAGATCCCCTAGCATTTCTACATCTGAGAATTGATCTCTGTTTGCTTTCTGAGAACTTATTTCTGTGTATTTTTTTTTTTTAATCTAGGACTACATGTTTTTTGAAAGAACTAGGAATTGATTGGAATGTCAGAGTGTCAGAGTGGATTAATGTAAGTCTCCTTAGAATATTTGAAGTCTGTATATTGACTGGGATTATCTAAAAGAAAAATTCAGTGTTTTTTTTCTTTCTTTATTTAAATTACATATACCTGTGTGGGTTAAGCTGTGATGCTTGTAGCTCTGAGTATATAATTTTACTTTTCAAATTCAAAAATTTATTTTATTTATCATTGGGTTATAAATGTTTTATACACTTTATTGGATTATTCTTTGTATATTTGGAGAAAATAATATAGGAAGTTTTAAATTGAGATACAAAACTTCCTTTAAAAGACTACTTGAATTATAGTCTGTGTTTCCAAAGCAAAAACTAAAGCCTAATTAAAGTAGTTTTAATGTATAATTATATTTTATTTTTTAAAACTAGTTATAAATTATTTTATATGTAAATTAATATGCAAATACTAATATTAATATACTCATAAAACAACTTAAAAATTGACACAATTTCAGTTTCTTTTACCATACTAAATAATATACGTATTCTCAAGTAAAAGTAAATGTGCTTTTTTTTTTTAATTTTCAGGAAAGCACACTATATTTGACTTATCCTATCAGCTAATCTAGTACTATAAATAAGATTTTTGTAATGACTACATGAAATATTAGCAATTTTTATGGTTTTCAGTGAATAAAGAAAGACATGACTCTGTGACCTTATCCAAAAGACAAACTTATTCGAAAATTTGGTATTGTTGTCACTTTTGAAGTTATTTATTACTACATGGAATGGTTAGCTCCTGTATTCTATCATTCCTAGAATATGTTAGTTATAAGATTAATCAGGTGTAAATTAAATAAAAAATATGTGTATCTTTACAGAGCACACTTCATTAGTGGTCTTAGGTTATTTATGCCAAAAAATGAAATGCCTAAAGTAAAATTTATTGATATAATTTTTGCATATTTTATTTTTGTTATTAAAAAAACTGTGGATAATCCATTGAGGTGGCATTTTCGACCCTACGCATTTACATCCTATAAAATGACCTTTAAAAAGAGCACAGCAAAAAAAAATAATAATAATAACTAAATCATTATTGGAAATAAAAACAAAATGAAATTACTTTCTTATAAAAATAAATTAAATGATTTGTTTTTATTTGTTTTCAATTTTTAGGGATTTAATTTTCTCTTCTAATTTTAATTTTGTATATATTAAGGATCTATAAATTTTTAAGGAAAAATTCTATGGTAAGATATATATGAAAGTCTACATAAGTACACAGAGATGTTTTCATTCCTTTTACTAGTTGCATAGTATGTCATTAAGTAGCTATGTCATAGCTTCTTCAAACAATTCCCTACAATTGGACTTTCATTTTCCTTGAAATTTTTTGCCATTCCATGTAAGTGTTCATGAATAAACAGGCATACATATTTTATATTTTTCCTAGTGCATATTTGGAAGCGATTTGAAAAGTGGAATATCTGTTCAAATTACCCTCCATAGAATTTATTTCTCTATGAATTCCCATCAGCAATTTAGAACAGTGTGCAGTTGCCCAGAGCCATTCAAGTATATATTATTCTATTTTTGTGTTGTGTCCGATATGTTATCCTGTCATAGTTTAAATTTTTGATTGTCTCACTTTCGATAAAATTCACCATTAAAAAAAGGGGGAAGACATATAATATTTTGTAGTAAAATCTGTATCAGTGTTGGAAACTAGGATTTTCACCTATCAGAAACTTAAGGCATTTGTAATCTGTTTTGTAGGGAAGATTGAATTGAGAGAGGAAACAGCCAACCCACAGTTGACTTCATGCAAAAGAAAAGTGTGCTTAGGAAATATGGGCATCCCTTTCATCTTCAGCAAACTTTTCCAACAGCCACTCTCCCCATAAGTGTTATACCAGCAGAACTCTACCAAAGCCAATAGGCCCAAATGACAAATGTTGGATGAGAACATTAGTATGGCAGTGGGGCTACAGAAAAAGCAATATCTAGATGACTTCCCAGCAGCCTAAATAATTCATCAGATGCCATTTTCCAATGATGAAGTATATTCAGGACACTCACCTCTAGCATATGTTTAGTACAGACAGTGTGCCAAGTCAAGTGGAGGTATTTGTATGTGACTTTAGTTAGGCCAGTTAGAGAAGGGGAAGCCTTGCAAAGATGGCGGTCATGTAAATACAACCCAACGTGAGGATTAGAGGTACTGACATTATTTCTTTTATAACCATATCTTACTTTCCTTTCTTCTCTCTCTGCATAGGAGTCCGGATCTTTGGCTAGACAAAATAAAACTATAACTGATCTATATGGTTCCTTCCTTCTACTCTGCAAGAAAGACATCAGGAAAAATTTGCACACTATCTGTGGAACTCGTTTAAATTCAAATACTAGATAAATTTTTTTTGCATTAAATACTCACATAGAAAAATCATCAAACATCAACAATTATCAATTTAATTAATAAAATACTAGGAATTGCAAAAAAAGTCTTAATTTGAATCTTAGTGAGATTTGAGCGAATGGTGGTGTATTTGTTTCTGAAACAGAAAAAAAGAACATTCTGATGTGCCAAATTTTAATAAAATTGAAAAATATGATGACCATATTTTAAAGTATGATGGAGGCACTGGAACAACAGATTGCATAAAGTAGATAGATAGCTAACACAATAAACTAAGAGATAGGTTTTGGAAATTCTCCCAGAAGTAAGATTAAACGCTAAATATAAAGAAAAACACTAAGACCTAGAGAATAGATATATTAATTTCAAGTCATGCACAATAAGAATTCCAGAAGCAGAAATCAGATGAAGGCAAGAGAATATATTTTTAATGTAAAGAAAATTTATTTGCAATCAAGACAAAACAAAGTCTTGAAGTTAATGGATTTGCTATAAAGCAGACAAAAATGAATGAAAATGATATGCTTTTAATGTTTTCTTTTTTTTTTTTTTTTTTTNTTTTTTTTCAAAAAAACAATCATTAGATGCCTAAAATATGGCAGATATTGTTAGGTAGTAATAGAATAGTTTCTGTGGCTTAACTTCCATGATATACCCATATTCTAGTTTACTGTTGTTTCTACCTCACCTAGAGCATTTAATCAAATTTAGCACACTTTAACAGCAGCATTTAAAAGAACCAAAGGATTTAGAACATAAAGATGGATTATATAAAAGTGTTTTTGTCCTTGCCCCCCATTTTCCCATACCCGCCTTTGGGTGGAGACCTTACCACTGCAGGAATTTTTTCATTCAGCATGATGTGACTTATACAGATATGGTGTCTTAGACTCATTCCTAACAATGGCTCACTTTGCCCATCTTTCTTACCTTGAAAAAGCAAAGGAAACACATCACATCTCAGCACACCATTTTGCCCACCAACCTAAATCTTGGCTTCTAGGTACTATTTTCCACTCAAAGCAACTGGGGTTGTTTTGAGAATAGTTGACCCCAGAATTTTGGTAGGGAAAAGTATAAGATAAGCTTTGCACAACTTGTAGAAAATCAAGGAGGTACTCAAGTATGGATGCTGACATGTCAAAAGGATAAAGGAAGGAATGTGAAAGGGCTCTCACCAACAAAATCAGGTATATTATTACCTTCTGAATAAAATAGGATACAGTAAGTCCATACAGATATTCTTATAAGTAAATAAATAAAGGTTTTATGAAGATAATGATATACATGGTTTCAATTTATTTTCCCCAAAATTCTTTTAATTTCAGAGGGAAAATGTGTAACATGTTAGTGTCTAGCAGCCAACTCTATTAAAGTAAATTTAAAATAAAATGATTAAAGTAGACATCATCAGTTATGGGATAAATTAAAATCAAGTACCACCTAATAGGATGCACTAAGACACAGCATCACATGGATCTTGATATATACAGGATAGAAGATAATAGAGTATTTTTTTTTTTTTTTTTAATGCTTGATGTGCTTGCCTATCCTGTGGTAAACCTTTTGGCCTGCGAATTGTGTTTATCTAGTCCATAACTTGGCTTACTGTAAAGTATGTTGTACAGTTATCTTTGTTGCACCCCAGGCTTCATATTCTTCTAGTGATAACGTCTGTTCAAGATGTAGGCTACTATGCCAGAGGGTTTTACTACATGTTTGCTCCTCGGAGATAATCTGTATCTTGCAGCATTCTTAGCTGTAATTCACTGTTCTTTCCACTCAATTATTGTTAGTTGGTGGTGGGAGATGGGGGACAGAATATTCCCTGGTGTTTTGGTTTAAGCCTCCCTCTTAAGCAGGCACACTCCAATTCAATGTAATACTGAAGTCACAGACTGTGGAGTGTTAGCCAACTTACTTCTTTAATCATGTCATCATGCAGCAAGCATTCGCTAAGAGGCCAGTGCTGGGTAAAAATCTGAGTTGTGTCTGGGTATGTTTATGTGAAAGGAGTTGTGGGATGGAGAAGAGAGAGTTGATAAAACTTTCAGGCAAAATATATTGAACAAGCAGACAAATCTAATGATTTTGGATAGAAACATATTAGAGTAAGAAAGTTCTGAGGAAGCTCCTTTCATGGCCCCTTCCTTAAGTGGCTTAGTCAGGAGAAACTACTTAGAGTATTGTCTCTACTATTTTCCTAAAAGAGAAAGGACATCCTTTACACGGCCCTTCCTTCTCTCACCCCTCTGCTCCCACACCTTCGCTGGAAGTCAAGCATCCTTGTCCTGAGCGGCAAGGCAATGAGTGAGAAGTTTATTTTCCTGCTGTAGGAGGGCCTAAAACCCAAGATAGGAGAAGTTTGGGTGCTTGCCTCATGCTAGGACCTTGTGTCACTCTGGGGTGGTTGTGACAGTGAATGGAGGATCAGTGGGTATCCCTGACTGGGGGTAACATTGAGGAGGAGGAGTTGTGATGGTTGGGGTATGGAGCTGTGTTGTGTCTTGCGAAGGAATTTCTGGGTACACAGATCAGTGGGGAAGGGGGAGAATAAAGAGGAATGGAAAGAAAAAGGCTAAGACATGTGACTGCCTGACCTGATCACCTCTTGGGAGGAGACTTGG